ATATACAAGATTTTAGCTTGTTTTTATTCTCTTTCTTAGTGTTTGTTGAAATAGTTAAAAAAATTTCTAAAAATTGAGGTTAAAGTCAATAATTAATCTTAATCGCATATTTTATAAGATCAACAATTTTTATCAACTTTTCAACCGTACAATTCATCAACTTTTATTAAAATCTGCTATTTTTTTTTTTTTTTATCAAAAATAACATTAGCTGCAGGACAATCTTGTCAAACATTTTGAATTATATCATCAATACTGCATATCAACATGCTTTTGAGTTCATTAATGGTTTGCGTCGATATGACGGATAACAGCAATGCCTGGACGAGCAAGAATGAAGAACTAGAAAAGGTGAAGGAAGATCTCAAACAGGCTAAAGATGATGTTATTGTAAGTGCTATGCCATAGTCCAATCAACCTTGGACATAAACACTTTTAATATATAAAATCTATACATATTTATGACAAGATCTATTATTTAATTGAATTAATATTCTAATAAATTAAATAATAGAATCCGTAGATTCAAGTTTTGGTGATTTGTTAATCACAAAGAGTTGTGATTGTAAGATACAAATTACATATGAATTAATCTTAAATTNTATTCTAATAAATTAAACAATAGAATCCGTATATTCAAGTTTTGGTGATTTGTTAATCACGAGGAGTTGTGATTGTGAGATACAAATTACATATGACTAATTTTAAATTGTTTGTAGTCATATGTAATAATGAGATACGGATATCGTTATTACGGATAGACCATCACGTGTGGCATTTCTTACATGTGAAGTAAGTAGTTGATTACACAAGCTAAAGTGTGGTTACACTTGAATGGATATGTGAATATTTTGTTATAGAATAAAACATTGAAGACCCGTTTTGGACATTCCACATGGATAACTATCTAAGTGTCAGTGGTTAATCTCTAACGTTCGGTAGTGAAATTGATCCTTTGACTTGAGGTCATCATAGTGCCTTACATGAGGACAATCATACTTTGGTGATGTTAGGTGTTGCTCTGCCAAGGGCTGCGAATATGGCATCATTCGGGTATGTCAAGAATCATATGAGAGTTGTGAATATTAATAAAAGATTCGTCACTCTAGATAGTAAAATATTATGATCTATATTTCATTCAGTTAAGCTGACAATGAAATCATTGACCAAAGTGAACTCAAAACTCGAAAATGAATTTTCGACATGCATTGACTTGAGTGTGGAATAAAAGATATGATTGATAATTGAAATGACATATATCCATATCTCGTAATTGATGGGATCATATTGACGAAAAGACTATAGTTTTACTATAAACGAACAAGTTTGATTTTGTCATACCACGTGACATTTTTCACCACATGTATTGCCCTGATATATTGTTAGATGTCAATTTGTGACGACATATGTGAATCAATGATAAATTAAAATTGGTGTTTTAATTTATCGATTTTGATTAGATCAAAAGAATAATTCACGTCGTTAGGTATCGTGATTGAGAACCTAATGAGTCACACACAAAAT